GACTGAGGACTAACGTCTACACAAGTTAGCATAGAAATATTCCATGAGATGTGCACAGATATACGTATAAAAAAGACACAAGTTTGGTAATGCGAAAAAACCGCATTACTTATGGGATGACCTGATATATACGTAAGTGTGGTCCATCTGAACCTGCCTAAAATTTGAAGATTTAAATGTACAGCAAAGATAAATGTCTTTACCTTGCCAGCAAATATTGAAAGGCAAGAGAAAATATGAATCCTTATCGAAATGGGTCAAAGTGTGATTAGGTGCAGCATGTGTAGGCACTTCTCTATTCCCGCTCATTCTAGAATGAGATTTCATGGCTTAAAACAGCTCGACCTGGAAGTAGAGCGAAGAGTTGAGGGGACTGCTTTGCAGAAATTTTGTAAATTAGCAGGTTTGTTTGATGCGGCCCACTCAAGGGGGGCCCAAGTATCCACGTGGCCCTCAGCTCAAAAAGTTTGGAGACCACTGGTCTACGCCATCAGGTAGATAAAATATTAATAAATAAAAACTTAAAACCGTCGGATCCATCTATGGAGTCAGAAAATTAGGATAAAAATCATGGTTAGACGAGAAACTTGGAGTGACTCCCCATAAATCTTTCTGTAACAACTGCTCAACCTTTCATGCATGCACGAATTGCTATCGAGATCCCCAAATTACTCACCGTATGACAGTCCGACTACAATATTATATTCTCTCTTGGGTTCCCTTGAGCGAACTTTACTTTTACGTAAATGAATTAGGGATTCATGCGAGAGAGTGGATCTCGCCGTCGACGGTGATGTACTTGGCGGAGCAGCTGGTGGAAGAAGAGAACAAGGATATGATCAAGGGATTCGACTGGTATCTTCTCCCCGTCCTCAATCCCGACGGTTACGAATACTCCCACAAGACCCACCGACTCTGGAGGAAGACCCGATCCAAGACCTCCAATCCCTTGTACGTTCCTCCGCTCAAAAGGGTTCGGCTTTTTGCTTAGTTGTTGCTTCCGGTTTACCATGCTAGGACCGTTTTCTTTAATGAACTTCAAGGTAAGTCTCGATGCCTGCTAATAGGCCCATGAAGATTTTCTTCATGGCCATTGGAGACTGACGGCAGTCTTTTTTCGAGGTAGTCTCAAGAAGATATCTCCCAGCATCCGAAGAACTTATTTTGAAAAGGGTTTAGCCTTTTAGTCGAAATTGACAAAATATTTTTATTTCGAGAGGGCGTCCTTAGCTGAACTAAAAAATGCAAACCTTATTTAAATAGGCCTGAGATATGTGAATTCCTCCGGGTGATCCGAAAAAAAAATCGGCAGGAGATAAACAGGACATTACATCCAGCTTATGCAAGTGCGTTCATGAAAACTAGAATGAAATTGGTTTTTCAGAACCCGACTAACAGCTTTTTTACGCGCAATGTGAGATAAGCAAGTGCGTCTGCGCCACCCTTCTTGGCTAGACGATTTATATTTATTTAGATATTTACGGCAGATGTGATCGCGTCCGGAAGAAGCAGGAAAGTTTCGCATACTGACACTTGGCTCTGCCGATATCCCACAGGGAAAAAACCGTCATTCAGTTCTAAATGTCATTCAGTATTAATATTCTAACTTTCAAGATCCTACGTACTCATGTTGAATGCAATATTCTGTATATTTCCTACCGACATCTTGATTGGCGCTCCGTCTGCAGCCATGCAATGGTTGGGAACTTTTTTTGCCCCGCCGGGAAACGTATACAAGTTGACTAAAAAGTCACCTGGTTGATGAACGAAGTCTTTGAACAAAAACTATGCACCACAGCTGAATGAAACTTTGGGCGCAGTGTCATTACATTACACATTGCGCAAAACATTGCCGTGGCTCAGGACAGGGATAGCAGAGCATCTCCATGCAAGATGGCACGCAAGAGCGCATTGCGACTTAATAAGAAACACTGCATCACCTTTCAGGATGAGGTCACCAGTAAACGAATTCAGACATAGTGGTCATCACCCAGACCATCAGATCTTAACCTGCAGATTTATGGTTGTGGGAGTACCTGAAGCCACAAATGCTACTCACTGATTCCGCGACACATCAAGAACTGAAGGACGTCAATCACCAAGAACTACAGTACATTCCCTACGATACATTTAGAGCTGCAGTCTGCAATATCGTTCACCGGTTGGAAGCAATTGTGGAACGTGGTGTGGGTCATACTGAACATTTCTTAGTTGAATACGTGACTTCACGCGAGCAGGACAATTGCTTCTTTTTGCAAACCATTCTCCTTGTGATGTTCTGACAACACTCACGAGTATCTCTGAGCTATGATGCGTAGCTCTGTCTGCCAACCGACTTAGTGTATGCATGGATGCTTGATGCTACATTTTTGGCTAAAGAAAATAATAGGTATGGGCTACGTGGCCCAATAATGGGCCCAGGCTGAGAAGCCCAGACCAATTCATCGGCGAACGTTGAGATGCTCGGCTTCCATAAGTTTATTGCATCAAGCTGGTGCATTCATACCAATTAGCCTACGTCGACCAACGCTCAAACATTTAAATTGGAGTGTTTGGCACTCCGATGCATTGCTGACGGCCAAGAACCCCTTTTAAGAACCACTGCCCTCGAAATCCTCCAGCATACGGACATCTCCAGCACTTACAGCGTTACGGCCGTGTCATTCAAAAATATAAAAACAGGAAGACTGGGATATCGTTTATTCCGCGTCATACACGTACGAGTACTTACGGTCTGTACCCACCATTGAACTTCGGAATAATGCAGTGTTCCAAAAAAAAAAAAAAAAAAAAAAAACACGACGCTTCCCTGAGCTTCCTCAGAGTATATACATTTATATCCTCTTCCTTTTAATTTCGTTCCTCTAAATCAGAACCGCTATTACAGTGAATTTTATATTGTCATCTTCGTTGATTCGACGATTCTTCCAGGGGTCTCAACAGGGCACTCATAGAATGATGGGATGGGTCCATCCTCCCCTCTGATTCTCCGCCGCTCACTTTTTTTGAAATGGAATACTAACAAGATGCAGGCGAAGTCTGGGGAAACTAGTGAAAGATGCTTAATTTCAAATCATCAACTATAATTTTACTCAAACATACAAGATTAGATCTTTGTGGAGTATACGGTGAACAATTGCTGCAATCACACCTGTCCGACTCGACATGGGGCGAATGGATTTCTTTGGGCTTTGCTGAATCGCTGAGCTTATGGTGGCTATCGTCTCCACTTACCCGGTCAAAGAATACTTTTCGATCATTATCGAAATATCATAACTCGATCGTGATCGAAAGCCATACTTAGACCCACAAAACTGCTAGTTCGATCATCATAACTCGATAGCCCTCCAGGACCCCTATAACTGATCGAATTTTCATACTTAGACCGAAATCGTAATTGAGAGCGACATCTAACTTTACCGCCGACAAATCCAGTCATCTCTGGCCCTTTTCCTGGCCATCACAATCAAAGATCGGATATCCAGATGACTTTGTTCCTCACTTTTCCAGTTTCGAACAGTGCTTGGATACGCTTGTTACCCCATATTCTATTAAAAGCTGTTGTTTCATCAATCGAGTAAAAACGCCTTACACAAGGCCTAGGACCATCACAACTCTCTTCCATCTTCCAATCCCTTTTCTCAAGAAAGACGGTTCCCGGAAAGAACATCGCGAACAAAACATCGCGAGGCGATAACATCGCACAGTGAAAACATCGCTTGGGGCCCTCTAGGCTTGAAAGCTTGCGATCAAAAAGTGAAGCTTTACTTTAGTCGGTTCTTTCCTCTCGTTGGGAGCAGACGAGTATTTTCTCGTTTTTTTTTCAGTCATGTGGATTTCACACAAGTGAATTTTAATTTAAGATAATTAATATAATTTAGTTTGGGCTACCTTAACTTGTAAACAATGTGTAGGCTAGGCCTACTAGGGCCTTAGCTTACCCAGGGTAGCAATAGCGTGGTTTTTGCTAGTTGAGAACTTGACTCAATACACCACCACAGCACCCTATGAATTAAATGCGTTTTTGTTCATTTTTTGTTTTATATCAGTCAACAGGGGAAGCAAATCCTCACTGACCACAGACCGGCCCGAGAAGGCCTAAGCTTGCACATTGTTTACAGGGAACAGTAGCTCAAACCAAATTAAATTACTTACCTGAAATTAAAATTCACTTGCGTGAAATCCACATGACTGAAAAAAAAAGAGACGAACCACGTCTGCTCCCAACTAGAACAAAGAACCGACTGACGTAAAACTTCACTTTTTGCTCGCAGGCTTCAAGTCTTGTGGGCCCCACGCGATGCTATCGCCGTGCGATGTTTTTACTGCGCGATGTTATCGCCTCGCGATGCTTTTTCCGCGATGTTTTTCCCTCGCGATGTTTTTTCCGCACACCGAGAAAGACACGAGGTTTCCGTGGGTAACTGTTGCGCCATGTCTCCAAACAGTCGAGGTGGTAAAGTTAGAAATATACAATGGAGCAACTGTCCGCGTGAAAGACACATGGGATAATTGAAGTTTAGTAAGGAGCCATCTTTGACGACAAAAGACAGGGAGGCCTATGGCAGCGTGAGGTCAGTTATCATCGAAGTTATGATGACCGAGTTATCCGATATTTGGATTCGATACTTAGACCCAGATCGAGTTATTATGTTATTTCGATCATAATCGAAAAGTATACTTAGACCGGGTAACTGTTCGCACTGATGGTGTGCGGTTGTGCTTCGTATCAGGAACTGATCCCCCTTGAGAGTCTCGTGTTTGAAATTCCCTTCTGAAAGTTCTTTGTGCAGTCACTAGTGAGTGACTCAAAATAAAGTTAGACTATCCCTATACAGTGTCCTAGGCTCCAGGGATCCATGGCCAACAACTTGGCAATATTTTATCTTCAAACTGAAATGAAACTTGAAATTATTATATACACAGTTTTCATTTAAATCAGCATTCTCATGGTCCCAATAAAATGGAACACCCTGCATTATTGGTACCAAAAAAGCAGGGGAAAATCCTAAATTCATCCCTGATAGCTAGACTTTTTATCCGTTGAATTCTTGCTAACAGTTGCGACGGAGTGGACCTGAACCGGAACTTCGGGTTCCACTGGATGGAAGGCGGAGCTTCGGGAAACCCTTGCAGTGAGGTCTACGCAGGACGGGAACCGTTCTCGGAACCGGAGAGTCGAGCAATGAGGGACTTCCTGCAGACTAAGATGCCGAACGTGAAGGGCTTTCTAACTTTCCATAGCTACGGCCAGCTGGTTCTTTCCCCCTGGGGATACACGAAGACCTTGCCCGAAGACCACGACGAGCTGGTCCGAATGGCCTCAATCTACACTTCAGCGGTAGCATCGGAGAATAACATCCGATACACCGTCGGATCCACCAGTGAGCACGATTTTTGCACCTCCCCTTATCGAGTGTAAACTTGCGTGGTCACTCCTTGTATTTTCTCGATCCAAGATTGAACTCATTGCCTTGGCTTTTATGTTTCGATAAAATTAGTGCAGCCTAATCGGCTCAATCGACCTGCACCGCCTTGGCCCTTGGTGCAACAGGAGCACTCTAACATGGCTGCGTTCCTATGTGAATAGTAAATTGTATTGAGTCGAATCATATGACAACTCTTCATCCTCATCCTCATCAGAGTAGAACGACTCCATACTACTATGTAACAGTTTGGTGCCATATGACTCGCCAATGCATCCTTTGGGAAAATCATGTGGAGGAGTTCCTGGGTACATTCCGAACCGATAAAAAAGGAATTGTGAAGGTAACGATTTTCTTCAGTAACTAGTAATGGTAACTGGTTCCTTTTCTGCTAAAGTAACGGTAATTGTAACTATTTCCGTTTGAGAACTCCATCCCTGCCCGATCCTTCCAAAGAAACACACTATTTAAATATTAATCGTTGAAACAGTGGATTCTAACATCTTCATTGGCACATACGGTACATTTGAAGATATTTTTGTTTTGAAATTCATGCCAAAATAGATTCGTCATACCGAAGTACATCATTGACAATGTCGTATAGTTTAAACTAAGCATCTATCTTGGTAATCTGTAATTACATGGACAGTTTCGTCCACAACAGTAGATTTTTTGCACGATAAACATAAAAACTTGGTTATGCAAATTGATTTTTATATCTTAGTTTGTATGATGGTAAAATGAAGTTGTAAAACTCCATAATGTAAGGAAGTACGGCAGGTTCTTCAATGATTTTCTTATATTTCTACCTAGATTTCCCTTCTACATTTCCTTTCCTCTAATGTACTCTTTACAAGAAGTTGCATTAGCTTAGCCTGGAGTCCAGGCCTATCCTCGTAATGTCCAAAGATCACATTTGTGACCGCCAATGTTGCTTTTCACTGAGCAGAGACAACATCCGTCTTAGAAAAGGAAAATGAAATCCGAGCTTCGAAATTTGCCGCAGGGGGGCTCGCGTGCAGGGTACCGTTTGTGACCCTTGGGCATTTCCTACCTAGACAGGAACAGGTACTACTATCAGGTGGCGCAAAAAAAAGCGACCTGTTTGACACCTTCGACTATGGTCGAAGGTGTCAAACTTCCATTGTCGAAATAATGCTAGGTTTGTAATGTTTTTGTATAACCTTGAAAAAATTATGAAATTTGTTTCCTGAAAGTTTCAAGTGTCAAGGTTGTCTGAATATAAAGCAACAGCAATTCAATCACTGCCATAAAATGTAACTTTCCACGCATGAGGTGGATGCAGTCTCAGCACCTCTCGAAGGATTTCTCTCCTTGAGCCATGAAGGCTGTTTTTCATGTTGTGGATTCTCGTCATAGTATTCTTAACACGTTGGCGACAATGCGTCCTGATGCCAGGATGCAGATTTTTTTTTCAATAAATACCCTCTGGAACTGTTGAGAACGTTCCAGAAGATTAATGGTCCCACGCGGCGGACAAGCAAAAATAGGCTGGTCGTCAACGTGTTAATTCAGCTCACAAAAGCACATTTCACGGTCTCTTCCATTACTAAATTGTTGGCTTCTCATTTAGATGTAGTACATGATTGTTCGGTGCTGGATTGGCTGAATCACATGCATCCGTTTGGGACATCCTAATACGAGATATACAGTGTGTTATAAAAATCAGGAATCAATTGGGAATAGCATGGGGATCATTCGCTATCAAACTTCCAACCTAAAATATTTGGAGCTAACCCGCCAATCTGTATTGATACTATAATTGTCATACTGGGTCAAATTAGGTCACTCAGGCTAATTTTTGCAAACTCGGGCATCTTTAGATTACTGTATTTGAAGTTGAGGCAATAGGTCGATTTAAGTCACCTTGAGACACTCTGGGTCATTTTGAGTTACCTCAGGTCACTCAGGCTCACTTGAACCCAATTTTGTGATTAAGAAACCCTAAACACACCTCCATCGAACTTGGTTATGCCGTCAGTACTGCTGTCGAAAATTTGATCCGTATTACTGTAAAAAAATAGACTCTTGTGGAACAGCCTTTACAATGAAACATTGTATTAATACATGTATAGTAGGAAATGATCGATTAATTGATTTTTGGCTCTCAATCAATACATTTCGATTTATTTATTGCATTTATCAGGTAACGAGCTGTACATCGCGTCGGGGGGCTCTGACGATTGGGCGAAAGGGGTGGCAGGGATCCCGTACGCGTACACTGTAGAACTGCGAGACACTGGACGTAATGGTTTCCTCCTTCCATCGTCCCAAATCATTCCCGTCGGAAGAGAAACATGGTCTGGTCTTCGCGCTTTCACCAAGGAGCTCGATCGTCTCGCCAATCAAGGGAACATCCGGTTGGAACTGGGACGAAATGACCCCGAACCATCCCCAGGTCAAATGGGAAAGTCAGCCAATCCCCGCTTTTCTTCAAAGGTATCGTTACCTTAAGCTATCTGCTCTTCCTCTTCTCCCTCACGGCCAGTCTCTATTGGATATATCTATCAATCTGCCCACGAGAATTGTCCTTAAAATATTGAATTTATTGCAGCCTTCCGTTAGATGCCCGAGTCCTGCTGAAACTGCTCTTTTTCTTATAATTCACACTTTAATGCAAAGCAATTTCCCCAGCGACTCGCCCATGCATCCTGCATATGCATCCTGTATGCCATTTTCCTAAATGGCTCGAAACTCCTTCGTCACGGCTGCATTCAGCTCCATAACGGTGCTGAATCTGTGTACTTTCAACTCACTTTTCGCTTTGGGAAAGAATAAAAGTCAGAGGGGGATAGGTCAGGGAAATAACCAGGAAGAGGTGGCGTTTCAGCACCTACTGCAGCCGTTTAAGATTTGGCAGATTACTTGAACATGGAGTATTTTAGAGTGCAGCAACATGCAAAGATAATAGAGCTGTACTTTCAGACTGTTTCCATTGTAAAGGTCCGAAGAGCCTCTTCACATTGCCAACAATCCTGCACTCCTGGAATTTGAAGGCACGTGCATTGAAATCATAAGCGTAGCTTGGATGGAAAAAGTGTCTGGAATGGCACAGGACAAAGTGGGGGGCACGGGAACTCTGGGATACAGTTACTGTACACTGTTTCCGGATTGAATTCGTACCCTCCCCCTATTGTGGAGAACGGGGAAAACACGATTTCTAAACGATCTGCTAGATGTCAAGCCCTGCACGGTTGCCGGTTCGTTGGTAATAATTTCGCTTTTGGGAGAGAAGAAAATACGCTTTTATTCGCTAGCAATAAAATGAGGTTAATAACAAGAAAAATCATGAAAGGAAATTCTCCAGTTCTCGAATGTTCTTGGAAAATGGTATCCCATCTTCGAACATCACTGCAAATTTTCGAACATAACTGAAGCTTGCAGGTCCCTCATCAGGAAGAGACTTCATGAATCATGACTTCTTGCGACAATTGTCATAGCATTTCAGGTTATTCACGGAAAATCGTCATCCGAAATCATTGGGATGGCCATATGCAGCGAATGCCTCTTTGTGGCCCGTTTTCAGTCCTTTTTAGCAGGGAAAGACCCAACACCAATGCAATAAAATAGTTCGATGTCGCAGGGAATGGACCCAGCATTGCAGATAACAATAGAGATGAGACAAAAACGTTCCCAATTGCAGTTGCGAGACTCTCAGCTTCGCCTCCGATGGCTGCGACTAGCCTCTGCCCAGTCGGCACAGCCATGTTGTGTCAACGTTGAGAAAAGGTTGAAACGTTGAGATTTGGTTAAAGTTGAGAATTCGACGAAGAATCGACATCAATGAAATGCTGGCTATTTGTAATTAACAGTATTTGCAGCATAATGTAACTACTCGTGGATTAGCGACGTCGTTTTGTGGCTATTAAGAGCAAATTCTTTTTCATCATAAATGATTTGCGCTTAATACACCCCTGGAGGATTCTCCCAATACTTCACCTTCCATCCAAAAGATGTCCTGCCTGCACTTGATGGAAGCACACCTAAGATGGATACGAGTTCAATCCGGAAACAGTGTATCATGGATTTCTGGGTCTTTCCCTTCTATTTTTTTTGGCTTCTTTTCTTGAAAAGAGGGGGGGGGGGCACGTGTGTCCCTCTTGCCCCCCCGACGCTACGCCGCTGATTGAAATACATGCGCACTGGATTTAATTGCACTTGGCTGCATTGTTTGGATTTTGCAGTGGCCTACGACAAGATATGGATAGATAATGGAGGGGAGGGGCATAATGTATTCGCTCTTTCTCCCTCCTCCCTTCAGTATATATGCCTATATGAAATATGTAAATGGAAACAAACGTTGAACATGACAATTCCGTCAAAGATCAATACTTGAGCACTTGGCTCGCGCAATACTCCAGGTCGATGGCACGTGGTTAAGACTTGCCTGCAACTACTTGTCTAATGTAATAGCAGCCACCTCGATTCTCAGGCGTGTCCCAATATGAGAAAGTCTATAATGCGAAAGAAGGGTGCGGTCCGACATTCTTCAGTGCCTTTTAATGCGAGCTCTAAATGCTGTCACTCTTAATAAGGTGAAATAATGTATAGCAATTTGTGACAAGGTAAGCGTGAAGGTCTTGAGAACAGGATGTTTTACGGAACTTCGTATTTTCAGGTGAGAAATCCTTGCGAGGAACCTGATCGTGACCATAGAGAAGTTTTCTTTCATAAGAAAGTAAATTTCTCTATGCATGCAATAATTAAAAAAATCTGCCTTTTTGGCTCATGCGTGAAAATACGAGACTCTCGAGTTATCTGGCCATAGGAAGGAAGCACAACCACGACGATTCTGTTACAGAATGAAGTAGCGGAGAAGAGGAAGGCGACAAACTTCAAACGAAGTCAGTGCAAGGACTCCAAGGAAGACAGCAGTTCCAGCGAGGAGAATTGACATCAACCCTGGGCTTTGTATGACCCTTTTTTTTGCGTGTTATTTTCGATTGGAATCCTATCAGGTCAAAACAGGAATAAAATGAGAGTGATGTAACTGAGTTTTATTCTCGCAATATCAACGGTATAAAAATTTTTTTTTTAAGCGAACTATACCAGATTTCTAACCATGAACTCGGTAGTATCGGTAAAAATAATAATTCATGCAAGTTGATTCATCATTAAATCAGCAGCAAAATAACGAAGTTGAGAACAAGCCACGACCAGTATACTTGGCCCCTGGCTTATTTACAATTGCAGTTTTTAAATGCCACGCGTACCAGTGGGAAAACCCAGTGCCAGTGCTGGTAGGAAGTTGCATTGGTACGATGAACACGTAAGGACAAAATTTACATGGTGGTCCAAAAAAAAAAAGAACATTTTTTCCAAAGACAATATCTCCGAGACCAGCAAAATTGTACATATGTTTATGACACCAGGGAGTCATTCTGTGGATAATCACTCTTATTTCTTCCAAATTGGCTAATTGCATCAAAAGTTAAGCGCCGTGGCATGTGGGAAAATAAGTCGGGTGAACAGAGAAACCCGCAGGGGAGACGCAGCGCTTCTACTGGGGATTCTCCTCCAGGAGATAGTGGGTAACGGCTGTAACCTGACTGGCAGGTTCGCCATCTGCCTTTAATTTCAATTGGTTGAAGCATGTGGCAGATAGGTGTTCTCCCATTGTTGGAAAAATGTCCAATTCATGAATGTTGACCAGGTTCTTTCGGTTATTGATAAGTTTCAATTTGTTCGGAACGGCTGATGTTCAGAATTGATCTTTCATTGAACTCAGAAAGAGGTTTCAAACTGCACGAAACTTTCACACACGCAAGTTAGCCGAATAAATCTGATTCCATTGGGAACACCGCGCAGCCTAGTTGGTATCGATCGTGTTCACTATTGACTGTACTTTTGTCCCAATCAACCGATTTTTTAAATCACAAGTCATCAAACTTATGAAGAGTTGCCCGTCTCCTCGTAATAATTTTATACGTGCATGCCAAATGATCTCGGAGATACCTGGTTAGGAAATATTCTCTCTTTTTTTATTGCCACCCTGTATTTCTTTAGCGGGTAGATATGCAAGAGTTGCAACTTTGAGTTGCAGCTCTCAAAATGAAGTTGACACTTTCACGATCCGCACCGGCGGGCAGCGCATGAGACACGAGGGCCGCCGAAAATAAATTCTTAAGACTGGAACTCTAACTGGGTCAATATGGAGCTACAGATGTACCTGTGCAGGATATGGCACGACTTTTATCTTTAATACCTCCAAAGTCTTTGCTCTCACAGGAGCTATCTTCACGAAACTTGCTCTGTATGTAGATTGATAAGTTCTATGCAGATTTTTAAAATTTGATCCAAATTGATATTGCCAAAGCAAGGCGATGGGCAATTATTCAAAAGAAATCGGAAATAAAAATAGACAGGGAACTCCGAACGCCCTTCCGAGTGCCTCGTCCATCTGCCTCGTACTCCGAGGTAGACCAGGAGAAAATCTGGATAAACTTTGAGCCAACTCTTTGCTTTGATACTTATCTATTCACTTGGCATGGGCTTGATATGCTTTATTCCTATCAATCCGCAAAAAAATGGCCAGGCTAAAAAAATGAATTTCAAAGGAATAGGCGCCAGATGTGGCCTGAGTGATAGGAAAGCAGAGCTCTGGGGCTTGTCTTCCAATTCATTACTAGCATGTACTCTTGCTCATTTTCATTACCCAACTTCTTTTTCAATAATAGCTCGTACCTTTGCCTCGGAGCAATGAATTTTGAAGAAAATATGAGGAAGAATAAGAAACATAAGGGAGGGTGGTACATCATGGGTCACTTTTTTGCCTGCAACTTGGGCTTTTTTTTCCCTAAAACAAAGGATGGCGCTGCGTGTAAAGACATATCTCCTGCGCAATTCTGTGTTTCAAAGTTCTCAACTTCCAAGTTTCGAGGAACTAAGTCATATTTTAAAATGAGGCACCATGGGTCTGTATCCCGGGTACGATGGGTCGACCCCATATTCATCGCTTTTGGGCTCAGTTGTCAAAAAGTCATCACATAAATGTGCTCGCATCACAGGAGAAGTTCTTGGATACTGATACAATTCACCACACTTATCTGGAAAATGAAGTAACGTTTAATCGGAAAATAACAGACAATAATAAATTCGTTTCAGGCTCAAGAATTTCATATCTGCTGGAGTTGAACCCTACAGAATCTTGCGCTTACAATTACTCATTATCAGGTCAGAAAAAGACTGCTTAGGAAATCATGATCTGCATTGACAATTCCCAGAAAACATTTGGCACACCATGAGTTATAACCCATTGAGCTACAAATTGAGCGACCTATCGCACCACGACACAAGCAGTGTCGTGAATCAAGATTACAACCAAATTAGCTTGCGATTGTAGCTCATACGCGCATGCATTGAACTGCCGGTTTCCCGAATCTGATTCCAGCAAGAATCAAGACTTTTCATCAAAAGAAACAAACAAAAAAATCTAGTTGTCACTCTCAACATAAAAATAAACGAAAAAACGTCTGCAACAGAACAATGTCTGCACTAATATGTGGACCTGCAAAGTGCAGATTAACCTGCACTTCGGATGGGAACGACTCTTTTTTCAAATACACTTTCTACCTCGATTGGAAGATGTATAGCAACGACATGAAGAGAAACAGTGCAAGAAGAGCTCTAGAAAGCCTAACCCCTTGAACCCCGTTACCCAAGGTGTCCCACGCTCCCCTATCCAAGTATGCATTGAGAATATCGTGAAAATAGCTCAAGTAAACTGGCAGGCACGTTTCGTCCGTGACATGGGATGAATGAGTCCAGTGCTTTTCTTGCATGTGTAACGCGCGGTCATCTGTCCTGGCCGGTAGTAGGCTTATCACGAGTACGTCGTGGTACCTCGATACCTACCAGCTAACTACCTTGACCGTCACAAAAAAGGATGTTCGAACTTGTCTCCTTTGGAAGGTTCGTATTGGTCAGGACGAAATCAGTAGCCGTTGGACAAGGATTCCTACACAGACTGGTTTCACACAGATTTTGTTTATTCTAATCTACAATTTACCTAGTACAAAACAACACAACGTGAGTTACCAATCATCGAGTTAACAGAAGATTGTACAGGATCTCTCAGCACAACTCAACAGCTTCCGCTCGAGAGAGGAAAGAGAAAAATAAACTTAAAACCTTTGAAAGAACAAGAAGATTCAGTTCATCCTCGATGCAGCACGTTTCGCGAGGTCTCGTGATTGGTGGCAATCACGGTTGTCAACAACGAAGTCAACGAAATTGGAAGTGGTTGCTCAGGCTTCAACCGTCCGCCGCCCACAATTCCAATTTCGTCCTTGCTACTTCTTAGTGTTCCTTCCGGCCCCAAACAGCAAGGAACAGAATCTGGCCCCAATCTGATCCACCTAAGCCCGGCTCCAATCAGCGCTTCGGTACCTCGGCTCCAACAGAGTAGAAATAGCAAGGTTCGGTATACAATGGGGACCCTAACCCAGTGCCTCATGGCAACAGCGAAGTAAGGAACACTTCATCAACCTTCATCTCTTCCCTCCAGGGCCGGATTAATATGGTGGGGGGGGGGCAAAGGGGGCAGTTGCCCCGGGTCCCACTCTTCCAGGGGGCCCCCGAAGGAAATTAAAAACGTTAAGTGAAAAAGTATTGTATTTGCGTAAAGTAGCGAGGGGGGGGGGGGGAGGCCAAGAATTCACTTGACCCGGGCCTTGCAACTTCTTAATCCGGCCCTGCTTCCCTCCCTTTTTCACTCTCCAAGTTGAGTTTATATACACTGTTTCCGGATTGAATTCGTACCACCCGCTATAGTGGAGAATGAAGAAAACACAAATTTCCAGACGTTCCGCCTCATCAGGTGATAGACGTAACCACAAATTTATAAGATGTCACTATCTGCAATCGATGGAAGCGCTCCTATAGGGGGTACAAATTCAATCCGGAAACAGTGTAGTGTTTCTTACATCGATGCACGTCACGCAAACTCGGACACTGAGCGGCCAGAAGGCAAAAAGGATGATACTAACAATGGCAACAAGAGATTTGGGGAAAGTGTTCGACCCTTGAATACTCTTGACAACGAAATTGTGGCGAATCCAAATATTAAAAGACGGCCACCCGTTTGTCCTCACTTGCTGCTGTCATATTTTCCCTGTTGAAGATATAGGGACACGCATGGAGAAGTAGCAATAAATCCAACCCCGCCAAGGCCCTAGCCTGGCGCCTGACTAGAGGATGGCAATAAGTCATGGAAGCACTACACGTGTGCGTGCGTGCTTTTAATGGTGGACCCACCAATGAATCACGGTGAGGTTAACTTTGTTCACAATGCTTATCACCTCGCTCAGCATCCTACCCCCCCTCGATGGAGAAGGCATCTCACGGATCGGGAACAAGGTTCGTATTGCCTCCACCTGGCCGGCTGACACGTGAAGCGACACCTCCGCGAGCTACCTTACCCTCATCTGACTACCGCATAGGCAGATTGCAAGTGCAGTGTCCAAGGTGCAGGCGTCTGTACCCGTACAATGCAGAAGTTACCGGTATGAAATGCAGGGATCCTCCTTGAGACTCCCTGACCCTGGCCACTCCCACAAACCGGTTCTTCGGGATAGCTGGACGTGCGCCTCTCGGATCCTCCAATGGAATGAAGTCAACCCGTGGCGCAGGCCTTGGCCTACGTTGGGCATTTGAAGCCCTGAGGACGCAACCGGCGAAGCTGAGGCTCTATCCCCAACTTACAGCTGTGTACCAAAGCTCGCCTCTTCGTCTCCACTGCCTTTGCACCAAACAGTTTCCCTGCCTTGTTGCATCAGGGCTTGGCCTAGGCCCACGGAAAAGAATATTGCCTTTCAGCTACTCAGTCGGGCTTCACACCTCCACCACAACCATGGTGGGCTTCTGGTCCTGCTCTTTGTGATTTTATGTCAATCAGCGTAGCTTTTGTTTCATTTGCAATTTATTCTAAGCCCAGTCAGTTGATCTCATGATGCCATAGCCCTTGACATGAAACTTGGTGTTCCAGGCTTCAGAGAAGAGAGGAAAGATGACAGAGGAAGAGAGGAAGGAGCTCCTGAATCCTCTGTTGCAGAAACAATGGAAAATTGTTGATGAGCGTGATGCCATTCAGAAAGTCTTTATGTTCAAGAACTTCAACCAGGTATAGATTCATGAGTCTCATCATCTGTGTCAGAGTCAGAACTCACCAGAATTTGCTGTTTATGCATGACATACTTGCTAGCTGAACTGCAAAAGAGGAATTTCCCTCCTATATTTTAGTCTTTCCAGACAAAGCACCATGAAATAGGGTACTGGTTCTGGTACCAATACTTACCTAAGACTCCCTCTTTAAGCTGATGTCTGTGTGACTTTTCTCACATTTGTACTGTTAATATTAATCATCAATTTACATAACCTGTACAGTATTCCTAAAGAAAAAACTGGGCAATGGTGGCCAGAAGGGAAAAGCACATTTTCTGACTCCTCATCTGGCTGGCCTTTCTTTAGTTTCACTCTCTAGCTTCCTGTGATCTGTTTCTTTTTACTGCCATTGCATGAATATAATGCCCAAAGGGTAGAAATTGGATAACAAAGTCATCATTCTGTCAGTGAAGAGGCCACCAACTCAAGAACCCATTATATGCTCTGTCACCTACAAAATTATGGGATTGGTCTTGTCATGTACTATAGGATTATATATATCTGCACAGAAGGGAGGAGAGGGTGGGGTGAATTTCAGATGACTGGTCATGTGGAATTTGGGAGAGGGTGAAGAATGGACAGAGGAGAATTGCAGTCTGTCATTTTCCCAGACAAGCAAAAGCCAATAATCGGTGTATTCAAATAAGGGAGGAACCCTCAACACAATCTAATCAACAATGTGATTGCTTATTTTTTAACTATATAAAAATTATTTAGTCTAGGATATTTAATGCTAATTTTATGTTGGAACTATAAGAGGTCATACTTTCAAAATATTAAAGGAGTGCCTGGAACAAGAAAACAATGGAATGGCCTCATAGCCCCAGTAAAGACTTTTTTCTGGCTTTGCCTTTTCCCCATTTTCTATGATTTCAAAGCATATTATCTGTCTGTTGTCAATGATAAAAAATCAAGGAGAAAGCCTGCAAAAATCTTGAGCGGCTCAATGAATGGAGAGTAAAAGAGAGAAATGGGGGGGGGGGGGGCAACATAGCTCCACCTCAAAAGGGCCTCAAAGTTCTAGGCAATTTTCTCTGTTTTAAGCATGAATCCACCACTGCTTTTTTTTTAAATAGGAGTGCGAAATATCTAATAGTTCATTTATGTATAACAGTTTTTCCTTTTTGTGCTTGAAAGGCATTTGGATTCATGACACGTATTGCCCTGCAAGCTGAGAAGATGGATCATCATCCAGAATGGTTCAATGTCTACAACAAAGTGGATATCACACTTTCAACTCACGATGTTGGTGGCCTCAGTCACCGAGACATTCGCTTGGCAACTTTCATTGAGGATTCCTTTAAGGCTGCATCTCAATAGGCTCTGTACCTCGTGAAATGCTCCAGTTTATGCTGGATTTTCTGTTAGTAAATTTTGGAAGCCAGAAGTAGGAGGCAAATGAGGAAGAAGGCTTGTAAAAAGAAAGAAGTCAGATGATTTCCTGTACATGTCTCTCTTGATATGTCTGTCATCTATCCCCATTTTTCTTTGATAAAAATTGGAGAAAACATTGCATTTACTACCATTAAGTTGGCTATATGGATAAATAAGTATAGGCGAGGGTTCTTTTTTTTTAAGTTCAATTCTTGCAGAAGTATTTTTATAAAGTCTTTTGGAAACCTAGCTGCTCCAGAAAGTATATATAGCTTATAATGGCCACTGGTGGATTGGACATCCTCAGCTTGTCATGTGACTTGGTTGTGCCCCACTGGAGTTCTCAGGTGAGAGGTTTAAAACAATGCTGAGTTGCTTGCATCTATCATTCTCAAAAATTTGAATAGTGAACCATGGAGCTTTTGTTTGAGGTCTTGTTGTCTGTCGCTTACTTTCTACATATCATTGGATCATTGTCTTCCATGTGATTTCATTGTGCAATAAAGCCTTTCAATGCTTGGCTGCCAGCTTGTGCCTCCAATTTTATTTTTTCTCTCACCTTTTTTCTGTTTGCCTTTTTTCCCCCTCAATTTTCGGCTTCAATGACTCTCAGAATACTGCGCATCAAAATAAGTTTTTCTTTGGCGTCATATTATCTTGTGCATGATTTCTGGGTGTATGAAAAAAACGCGCCATTTCATTTATTGCATTTGGAAATTAGTCGCAGTAAAAATTTTCAGCATATTTCAACTTTCATTCATTGACTTTTTACAAGGGGTGCCCAGAAAGTTTCCACAAACTTACATTTAAAAAATTGCTACTGGTTGGATTTGACTAAAAATTTGTACACATGCGCAACGAAACCTGGTCTAGTCCTCGACATAGTTCCTGAGTAAGTCAATGCACTTTTGCTCTCTGGCGGACAGCGAATGCATACCGCTTCGTTAGAAGTCCGTATTCTGTTATTGAAGTCACAGTTTTGCAGCGTGTTGAAGATCTTCACTTCCAGAAAAGTGTACTCCCCGAAGGTGGTTCTTCATTGGTCCAAACAGATGGTAGTCTGAGGGGACGAAGTCCGGACTATAAAGTGGATGAGTGATTTCATAAATTCATCCACGCGGGATTTGTTTTTGCCAGTTAATGAAATCAATGGGCGACCACTACATTCTGCGTTTCTCACCGTAACCTGGCCATCTTTAAACCTCTGTATCCACTCGTACACACTTCTTTGACTCATTACTTCATCACCAAACAATTTTTGCGGACATGTGAATTTCAGTACCACTAATGCCCTCCACTCCTAAGTGCAAGTAGCGTACAATAAAACGTTGCTGAAATAACAACTCGTTGCACTCCATCTTGACATGCTGGCAGTTAGCGAACGCCTTGAATTCTACCAATAGCAGCAGGTTAGAGCATGCAGCCTGAGTCACACTATTCACCGTGTTACTCTCGTTGGAATTCAACCAGTAGCAATTAAAAATAAATGTTAGCGGAATCTTTCTGAGCACCCCTTGTATATACCATTTCAAATTTTTTCTCAGAAAATTTCCTTGGTTGATTTAGCTACTCAAGCACTTAAAAGTTGTTGAATAAAGTATTTAGAAAGGAGCAAGTCAATGGAGTCTCGCTCTCTGAAAAGAGTTCATTTTGGGCCTTCCTTTCGTCTGGACGACAGCTTTGAAACGTGTAGAATGATGAATCGTTCTTTGAATGAAGTCAGCGGACACATCTCACCAGGCATTTTGGATGGCGTTCTGCTGCTTCTGAAAGGATGCAAACTTTTCTCCTTGGCTTTGATAACCCTTTTTTTTTCGAGAATACTGTCCAAATTGAGAATCGCAGTCCAATTGATGAAAGTCCTGGGAATGGGATGACCGTTCCGTGTTTGATGAGCACTGGCGTATCGCAGTTTGAAAAGTTTTAATATAGTGACTCCGATGCGATTAGGCACTATCCCGAACAAATGTGAAAAAATCCCCCTCCAGGTGGTGCTGACGGAAGAAGATTCTAATCAAGACGTTGAATGTAAACTCGGAATTCAAAATTGTCCGTTGTGGATCGATCAAGATGTCTGTTTTCCCGTTCCAACTGACCTCAGTGCTGAACGTAACCTTTTGAGGGACTCAAGACTTGCGCTGGAAAAGGCTCTCTGCACCTGCATACTCTTTCTTCCTCCTTCGATACACCCGATTCTGCATGTTGCTTGTGCCAATCTGACTTAAAATCATCAATGGTGATGATTCCTTTGACTTCATCTTGGAAAAATCGACACCTTCGCTTCCGAATGGTGGTTTTGTCTGCTCTGGGAGTCCTGAATCTCATTTACAATTTCAAGGCCCGATGTTTGGCCATTTTCACCACGAATTTCGCACTGACTGAGAGGTCTGTAGCGATTTTATGAAAATTTTTCGGAGTGTCTTGGTCCCTGCTTCCTCTCTTCCATTGTGATGAGCCTGTATCAAGTATTTCTTCACTAAACGATTTACGGTATTCATTACTTCTTGCGTCCACGTGGCCGGGATGGATCCCTGTGATTCGGGAGACCGTAGTATTCCAGGTTCTACCATTATATGGGGGCTCCAGCCGAGAGCAACCTAAACGAGCCAAAGTAAATATTAATGAGTTCGATTCAGCAACTCATGCTGGCTCTTCGTCGTCAAGGACAATCATGATTGCCTCCGGAGTGACTTGATTAGTTGACTACAGGAGTCTGGCAATTCCATGTTTCCCTGCGTGTCGGACTTCACCATGGTCCTATTACAGTATTTTTCGTTTGAGTTAGACAATGTTTCACTTGATTCAGGCACACATGCATGGGACGTTCCTCATGGGTAAGTGTCGAAGTCAAGTGAAAAAGTGTCTAACTGAAGTGAAAAACACTGTATTTCGGCTCTTATCGGGCGGCTTGCAGCGGCCATAACATATCCAAGGACCAGAGGACTCTACTTTCGGAGATGGAGGCACAGGATGGGAGGCTGTTGATTTACCAAGGAGTGTCGGGTCCATTCTGTTACTGATCCTTGGCTCATCTTTGGCACGATTCCTCAAGGATAGACGAGGAGTGGAACCATGGGTTTAACGACTCAAGCAACAGATGTTGAATATTGGGACTTGGAATGTGCTGACACTAGGCGATAATGCTTGCAACTACTTGTGTTTGCCCTCGTGGGAGCGGGGATACTCGTTATTCCCCGGATGGCTGAAAGCGTAGTCGAATGGAAACCGATCAGCAAAAGGGCCTCTCTCCGATCCACCTCAGATTGTCGCTGGTGGTGGTCTTGGCTGCCGCTCAGACCTACGGGCCGAATAGTGACTACGATGCGTTCCTCGCGGAGGTGAATGAGATTCTATTAGCGATTAATAACGGGATCCACGTTTTGCACACGGGAGACTTCAATGCACGAATTTGGAAACGCGAGGTGAGATTGAGTAGTGTGATTGATCGTATTGGAGATGCCACACCGAATGGAAATGGAATAGAAAGTTGTTGGAGTTTTGTTCTAGCAATGGGTTGACTATACAGGGTGGGCAAAAAAAAAATATACCTGTTTTCAAAAATTCATATCTCCTGAACTAATAAGGCTACGGTGATGAAAAAATACCCAAATAAAGTTCATTCAATTTTCTTTATAATGATATGGTGGTTTTTGCCAAACGGATAATTATTATTGCCATAATTAGCGTTTGAAAAAAGTTGCACAACTGAATTTCTACAAATGATACTTTATTTCTCTTTTATTTTTTGACAGTATGCGTTGTCGTGCATGATAAAAATTCACTTCCCAGTTCATCTAGCCACAAATGGTTCAATATGGCCACCACTTTGCCGTAAAACAGCCCGCAATCGTCCTCGCCATTTACCAATAGCTTTCGCAATTGAGGTTTGGTGGACTTCTTCCCACGCGGCCAAAATTCGTTCCTTCAACTGCGCAACCGTACGAATTCTCTGTCCACGGTACACTTTTTCTTCTAAAGCAGACCACACGAAAGAATTCACAGGATTCAGATCGGGACTGTTGGGTGGCCAGCTGTCTGGCTCAATGAAGTCCGCACAATTTTCCCGAAGAAAGTTAATGGTAGCTTTAGCTGTGTGAGCAGGAGCTCCATCTTGCATAAAGGTGTAGTCGGACATTTGGTCTTCAATTTATGGCAACATTGCAGACAGAAGGTCACTGCAATAGCTTTGTGAGTTTATTTTAGCTCCACGATCGATGAAATAAATTCTTGTTTTTCCCCTTTGAAGAAACAGCCAAAGATACCATCACAGAGTCCGAGAAATGAGCTCTCTCACGCAGTAGTCGCACAGGGCTGACAACATCCTTCCTGGCCACAGCTGCATAGACACGATCATTTTGGGTATTGCGAAGCCTTTCAACAGTGAATCGCTTCTCATCTGAGATCCAGATTTTGCTTGCCGAGGAAAAACGGTCGAGAAGTTTTCTGAAGCGATCCAAGCGCTTTTTTCGCACTCGATCAGACAATACCTGCACGGGAACTCTCTTGAAGGTTTTCAGCTTCAAGTCTATTTTAATGATGTTCCGCACCGACTCACGTTTTATTCCCGTTTCTTTCACAATGCGCCGCACACTCAGACTCGTCCCTGGATGTCCTTCTTGACTGCAGATTAATTCACCAACACTTTGAATGTTTTCTTGAGTTCTTGCACTCTTGGGACGTCCACTTCCAGCAAGACGCTTTCCACTACCATGGTCGCGAAGTTTCCGTAAAAAAGCTGCGACGGTTGGTTTTTTCCAATTCCGAGCAGGATATTCAGCAAGAATTTTGTTCAGTGAATAGAGTTTTTCTTCCCGGAGCACCTGGATCAGGCATTTATCACTTTCACTCAAAACCATCTGAAAAGGCCCTAGAATAATTAATAATACATTTAAATAATGAATCTCAAGTAATAAAGAAGAACTCATGAATAATCAGGATGCTGATAAAAAAAAAGGTCAAACTGCTGGTGCTGGACAAAGAACTCTTATTCAAAATCTGATCCGGTTGTCCTGCTTGCCCGCGGGCGGCGGGCTGGGGGAGGGATGGTGAGGGAACGATAGGAGACAGATGAAGTTGAATGTTTTCAGTATGAGAATGCTGTGCAGTAACGAGAAACAAAAAAAAATAAACAGCAAAGGAGACGATGAATCCAGGCAACTTTCTTTTTGTGCCTTTTTTTTCGGGGCAATTTTTTTAAACCGCTAATTATGGCAATAATAATTATCGTTTGGCAAAAACCACCATATCATTATAAAGAGAATTGAATGTACTTTACTTTGGTTTTTTTTATATCACCGTTGCATTATTATTTTAGGAGATATGAATTTTTGAAAACAGGTATCTTTTTTTTTGCCCACCCTGTATATAGCACCTTCCAGCACAAGGATAAACACAAGTACTCCTGGCCCAGGAGGTTCTGACTGTCGCGCTGGGACCGTGGGCCAGCTAATGCTAATCGATTTTGCGATCGTTTCGGCGGACTGCGGGACGGCGATGGATACTGAGATAAAGCGTCGGACTGAATTGGGCATCGATCACCACCTGGTGGTGAGAAAGCTCCCGATACGGGTAAACCTCGGAAGGAGACGGAAAGCCACGCACATCGCGAGAGGTGAGAAGCGGCTCTCGATGAGGAAACTCCTTTCGAGCTGGCTGGAGTATTCCCAACTTCCTCTCCAATTTCTTTTTTTTACATAGAGATCGAATTCCTCCGATCAGGTGTTTCGGTTGCGGCAACATGTTTGCCGCATGCTCTTCAAGAAAGTCTAAAAATGTTTTTACAAGGTTGACTAGTGGAAGTCCAGTCGCAGACCATAAGGTACTAGTAAGTGCTGCGAATGTCGGCACTGGGGGTAATCTCGGCACTTTGCAATAGTCAAAATTTTGCTTCCACTATTAGTTCCCTAGGCACGGGCAGATAAGTATTTTCAGATGGTAAGACTAATGTTAACATGTGCTTGGAACAGCCATATTTGCTGTTGTAGTTTTCTCACAGTGACTACTTTCTCCAGGCGTACTCCGAAAATCCTGCGAAATCTTGTGATTTTGCTAAGCTTTTGCACATTCCGTTCTTCTCTTCCACACTAGGTATTGTTTTATCAGGTCGTTGCATTCACTACTGAGTCCGTTGTAAACGACTGTGATACATAGGTGTGCTGATATTTCTGACAGGGTGGTGCTGTCTATACCAGCAAGTGTGCCGAGATTGCCAACATCTGACTCATCTTCACCTTTGACCCACGCCCTCGGAAAGGAAAGACCTGGGGTGCTCGCGGTTTGCGGTACAAGAAAGTTTATAATAAAGGTATCACCAGACCCAACATGAACGAGGAAGCTCCATTACGAAAACCACCAAGCAAGGTGGAAGTGAAGAATTTCATTAGTGTCGACATTCGCAGCACTCACCCTATACAGACAGGGCCGGCCTTAGGCATGTGCCACATGTGCCCCCGCATAAGGCGCAAATTCACCAGGGGCGCTAAAACTTGAATGAATATATGAAGCAATAATCCGGAAGCCACACTCAATTTTACTTTAGAAAGAGGAAATGCTTCTCGTTTCGGCGTCATTTTGAACGTTTGGGATTGACCCTTCTCTTTTCAGGGGAGGCGGGGGGGATAAATCTGTTGGGAAGAAGATTGAAGAGCAAGGAGGTAAGGGATTATAGGCATCTAATCTTTAGACCTGCTCTCCAGGCGGATAAATTCCTTTACCCAAGATGGCCTCATGGTCTGTCTGGGCAAGACAGATATAATGCCATCACAACTCCTACTACGCGGACAAGCCCTAAATTACTTTGTAACGTTTATTTTGGACTTTAGTACAGTATATAAAAGGTCAAACAGCAGCTCTTCCCCCCCCCATTTATGAAAATGTTTTATTCAATGGTTAATGATGCTTGATGAAATATTCATTTTTTTTTTAAAGTAGAATCTTGGAAGATTGTGTTAAATGACACCTGGAAGGAAATGGCTGCGTCTGCATTCTGCATTACAATTTTACTAGCACAAACTAGCACTGCAATTTTGATCTTGTTATGTTGACTCCCACAAAAGATAATGGAGGGGGGGGGGGGTAAAAATTAGTACACTTTGAAAAAGACGTGTAACTCAGGTTTCATGAAACCCTTATTTTCGTGGCCATGATTGAGTTTATTATTTCAGGCCTTCATATGAGCCATTACACGCATTTCTAGCTGTCGAAGTTTGAGAATTCGCTCGAGGAGTCACACGTGCCTGAAAACCAATATTTTCAAAATTCATATCTCCTTTACCAACGGAAAGAAAAATAAAATATTTGGGATTTTTGAGTTTCATGGAAGGCCGGTTAACTGGTCTTCCATGAAACTCAAAGATCCGATATATTTTATTTTCTTACATTTTTCAATTTTTTCTGTGGTCATTTCGGAACGTCATTTTGTGGAACGTCATTTCTCGGTCAGTTGGCATGGAATGGCCCTATGGAAATCTGAACTTTGTATATGGCATGGAAAACACCTAATAAGACAAATTCCTGACGTGGCACGTGCCTAGTGTTCAAAGGTTAGCGAGCACACGCTAACAATGTTCAAGCGGTGTTGACTTGTTCAGCAAGGGGCAGATATAATGCCATCACAACTCCTACTACGCGGACAAGCCCTAAATTACTTTGTAACGTTTATTTTGGACTTTAGTACAGTATATAAAAGGTCAAACAGCAGCTCTTCCCCCCCCCCCCTTTTCATTCCCGATACATGTAATGTTGATGGGATGGCAAAATATGTGAAGGGTTAGGAAAATTGTGAACATTTGTCGAGTATTATGTGCTTGAAAGACTCGATATTATTTCCTTTTATATTACATTATATTTCATGTTATTTTATTTCCATGGATGTTAACTTTTTTGGCCATTTGAGTGCTGAACTCAAGTTCATCGAAGAGAACTAGAATAATTCGTTACTGAAAGGGATGGTAGCAGCAAATTGGATGACCCAGTGAAAGGAGTTGTATGCCCTTCTGGGCTCCCTTCGCATCTCAGTTGTGGATTTCAGTCTCGTGGAGAGGTGCATTTTCCAATGATTTTTTTTGGATGTTAAATTTCCTGGAATTACCCCTCCCCCCCCTCTGGGTGGTCCTGGGAATTACTGAGGAAGTGCAGATGAACGAACACTTTCCATCCTTCTATGTGGTGCTGGGTGAAAACGGATTTTTTCAAGTTTGCCAAAGATTTAAATACAATTCATATTTTCTGATCGAATTCGTATCCCCTCCCCCCCCCCAGGAGAACCTCCCCCTTTCTCAAGTATGGTTTGTTGGATCATCTGATGGAGTGGATCTTCTGGAAGTCGTGGGGGGTCGTGCTTTTTCCATTCTCTTCTACCCAGGGAGGTACGAATTCAATCTGACAACAGTTTCTGACTATAGTTGGGGATCGCAATGGTGGGGGGGGGGGAACCTCCAGCTCTCCTCACTTACGCCAGTAACGTAGCCAGTGAGGGTTGCAGGAAAACAACTTTACATGGTGGAAGAAAGCAGCAAAAAATATCCGAGGAAAGGCTAGCCATGGACTTGGAGTTTGTCACATGAGAATCACGTGGAATAATCAGACGATATGATCCGCCATATTGTGATGTCACTGTTAAAGATGGCGTCTGCCGTGCGGGCCGTATTGCCTCTGTTCCAAAGACCATTTTCATCTGGGGCGAGTAATTCTCTCGGCGTATCAGCCAAGCGAACTCTTCGATATCGAGAGAAGCATGTGGTCGCCTTGTTGTTGGTGTTCTTTACTGTGATATGTTTCGGCACGATTTGGTTTTTGCCAGATCTCTCTAGTTCTCTTCTTCCTGAAGACAGTGCCATTCTGTCTGTGTACAAACGAGTGCAGAATGCAGCCCCCGAATTCGTACTCGGCATTCCCCCACCTCCTAGTCTTGATGAAGCAGAGACTGCTCCTCACAAGTTCGAGGTGCATGGACATCGATTGGACATTGGGAAAAGTCGTGATAAAGAATTGCTTGAGGCGAAAATCAATGCTGACAAGGATGTGGCAAAAATCGTGCTCGAACGCCCGATGAGCATAGAAACAGGAAATCGCACTGGTGATGTCAGCATAAATATCAACGATGAGAAGAAAGGTGATGAGAAAAAAACAGTTATTGACCATTCACTTGTACCAGGCTCGACTGCAGGGGGCTTTTTCCTTGGCCCTATTAAAGGAGTGATTCAGGGTGGAGAAGACCCCGATCCCATCATCAGGGAAAGGAGGAATAAAGTCAAAGAGGTAGGCCTAAGCCTAAGTTGTTTGTGCCCCCAAAACGTAAGCCTTGGCCAAATTGTTAGAGTGCAAGAATTAGGTGAATGCCCTACTGATTAGGCTTAGGTCTGTTGCTGCTGCGACATGTTTCTCTCTCTTTTTTCTCTCTCTCTCTTCATTGGAAAGAAAAGGGGGAGAACCTTTGTAATGGAATTTTCCCTCTTTTTTTTTCCATTTCCTAGTTATATTTAAGTGGCTCCTTTGCTGTATCATAGTAATCTTGCTAAGTATAAACTTCTTGTGTCCCTTCATTCAGCATGTGAAAATATTCCAAAATCCAGGTCCACATGTGAATGGACTCTGATGTACATTATGGCCTATTGAAAAAGGGGATACTCTTGAATTATGTAATAGTAATATTGCTCCTTATGATTTTCTTAAGTATTGTTGAATTTCAGATGAATTCATGCCTTCAGTCTCACATTGCAACTTCTCAATGATAAACATGGAGGAATTGTAAGATCAGAAAGCTGCTAGCAGATGGCTAGGGCAGTCTTACTCATACCCCCATTACTTGTGCTCTGATGTACAGTTGATCACCAGACTACTTGTGGCAGGTCAAATGCTTCCTGTTGCAAGTTGCTATTATTGCATACACAACATTGAAAGCCACAGTGTGACTGAAGGTATGAGGTATCTGAAGTTCTGCAGAAATCTTCCCTAATCATTCAAGATCTTTTGAAAAAGCTGTGATGATATTAGTTGGTGATATGAGATTTAAATTGTCCCTTTTTTGTTGAGCCACATTGCAGATGGCTACTTTTGTGAACATCAAGGCTGACTAATTTCCTTTATAGATGATGGTGCATGCATGGAATGGATATGCACAGTATGCCTGGGGAATGAATGAGGTCCGTCCCATCTCTCAGAAGCCCCATAACCCAGGCATTTTTGGCCATGGTGGACTGGGTGCAACTATAGTAGATGGTCTGGATACTCTCTTCATTATGGGACTCATGGATGAATTTCAGAAGGGGCGTGACTGGGTTGCTCAACATTTCCACATCGAATCTGCTGTATGTCATCTCTTATATGAAGATATTTTGGCTTGATTGCACTTCTGATGATGTATTATTATGATAATTTTCAGGACTCCCTTGTATCGGTGTTTGAGACTAACATCCGGTTTGTGGGAGGTTTTTTGGCTTGTTATGCTCTATCAGGAGATCCAGTATTCATCCAAAAAGCAGAGGAAACTGCTGAGCATTTATTGCCTGCATTCCAATCTCCCACAGGAATCCCATATTCCCTGGTTAACATCAATTCCGGTGTGAGTACAACTCCCTGCATCCCCAGAATCTTTCTTTACAGAGTAGTTTTTTCAGGAAAAGCATTTACTTTGTCATATTGCAGTTTCAAAGTAAAGTCTGTTGCAAGACTTTATCTTGATTCTGTTTTCTTATTTTGGTTATACTTTGAAGTCTCTAGAAATTATTGATTGCAATGATTGGCTGTGATGGGTTTTAAATCAAGATGTCAAAAGGGGAATTCTTTGCGAATCAACAAACCCCCCAGGGTAATTCACGTTTTTTCTTCCCAAAGCAACACATAAGAAAACAAATTTTATGGAATCCTTAACAGTGTAGAGAACACTGAGATCTCTTTTAGAACTTAATATTCGTCTGGTTTTACTTTTAACTTGTAGAAATATCATGATTATAAACATGATCAGTTCTGCCATTCATGACATTAGTATTTTGGAAGTAAGAAAAAACTATGATTTTGATTCATGTTTCACATTAGATTTTCATTGAGCACATGATCTGAAATTTCAAGTATTAAGTGGTTTTATCATCCTATTTTATATCCTACTAGATCTGGGATTATGTAAGTCCAGTTTTGTACCATTCATTCAATAAATCTTGCAACAAGAGGAATATAATGAATAATCAACCTAATCAATATAAAAATGTTATCTCAATATTGGTATGTGGTGTGATAACACTAAATTAAGTGCAGCAGTTGCCTTTGAGTATACTGTGGCTGTCTTGGATCTAGCAGCTCTTGCATTTTCAAGAGCAAATCCAGTTTTTAACCCCCTTATTGCCAAGAACCTCTCTGCCTTCTTGTGTGCAGACCAATCAACAATATATTGTCTGGCACTAAAAGTGTTAATATAGGTTTTCCCGACAAATCTAGGCAAAAGTCCATTCAAATTCAGCAGTGGCCGTTTCAATTCGGCAGTGCTCCTCTCTTCTCACAGTTATCCCATTCAATTTTGGCATTCATCATTTCAATATTGGCAGCCCAAGGGAATATGTTGTTTCTGGTAACTAACATTAGAATGAGGAATAGGGAAGGAAAGGGCACAAACACAGAGGGTATTTTTGGCAAATGATCATTATTCATCTGGGACTGAGGCTCGTTTGTGGGGTCTAGTTTTATCCATGATGACATAAACCAGTTGATCTGGTGGTGAAGTCATGTGTACATGTCTCTGGAGCTCCTCAAAGAATTCCTGGAATGTCAACGATGTGATGTATTCCTGTCATTCCTTTGAAGTAAAAGATTATTCCAAGCATGGAAACGAACATGAACGCTTCCTACGTTGAGGACTCAGATCAAGGAGCAGATGATTTTGAATATTCAGTTCCAGTATGTCATCTTAGATAATGCTAGACCCCGCAAATGAGCCTCAGTTCCAGATGACTTTCCTAACGTTCACGTGACGTTTCTGCCGGCATATTTGCCTTAAATTCCTGAATTCGACAAAACATGCCTGAATCACCCATTAGAAGTGCTTTGTGTAGTTTCACCATGCACAAACGTACTTGTCAGATGCCTAAGGAGAGAACTTATCAATGGGTAGAAGCAGTGTCAATGTCCATGTGTTTTCCTTTTTCATAGTAAAATAATGATTAACAAAAAAATACCCAATGCATTTGTGCCCCTTCCTTCCCTTCCCTAATCCTCAGACTCATTAATTCCCAAGAGAAGAGATTCCCTTGCGCTGCTGAAATTGAAACATCGAATACTGAAATAGAAAGTTACCTGCCTAAATTGAATGGAAAATTTGGGAGGAGAGAGGAGCGCTGCCGAAATTGAATGGGAAAACGGGGAAGGAGACAGGAGCATTGCTGAAATTGAAACGGCCACTGCCAAATTTGAATGGACTTTTGCCAAAATTTGTTGGGAAAACCTATAGTAGCATGTGAAGAGGTTATGGGTGGGTGATCATTGCAATTTTGGCAAGCTCTCTCTGTCATGTGACTTATTAAGCACTCTTTACTCAGGCAAGGCAAAAAATACAGTCAAACTCAGCTATATTATTATGGAATGAAGCAGGGGAAAGTTATCGCTGAGGCTTATTACAAAAGAGATTACATTTTTCCAAATGTGGAAGTAGATAACCTTGGATGCCCATGCTTACAAACTAGAAACCCTTTAATTTTTTGTCAAATGAATGGTATCCACTCTCTGCTCTATCATGAGGACTTGTCTCTTTCATTTTACACTACTCAAGCTGTTTATCTACTAGAATGATGAATAGCAACTGAAGATTATGTTTAAGATCATTTGGGGCACTCAGGATTTTCCTTCTCTCCTGCCCCCTATAGGCACACTTTCTAGATATAAGGCCCTCCAGGAAGACAGATTCCAGAAAGAAGAAACGGTAGGGGTTGCCAGTAGGCAACATTCCCAAAAATTGAAATTCCAGTTATTGAGGAGCATGATGACCTATTAACATTACATTGTGATCAGTCTTGTCAGTGGGACAAAGATTGAGCAAGCTAAAATGCTTTAACTAAGGATGCAACAATATTTAATATTCATTATAGCAATATTCTCTTATTGTGAAAAAGAAGCAGATACCAATACTGATATTTAATTCCACACATTCAAGCCCAAAGAATCAAATCCAGTGAAGAATGAATGAACACATAATTTATATCATGAAAACCTTTTTTGTTTATTGCAGTTATAGACTAGTAGCAATCACAAAACACAGGAGATCCATCAAGTTTCAATAGGACTTCTATTTCCTATTTACAAATACTTTGATTGAGCCCTCAGGGCAAGTTAGTTGAAAATAGGCTAGGATTCTATTTTAAATCTTGGAGTAGTAAAAAAACTGTGTGGATTGCAAGCTTGCTTTCATATATAGACTCATTGAGCCTGGTGTTTCAGACAGTTGAGGCAGTTTAGTTGGTTAGGCTCACAATCTGCTACCCTGGCTAAAGATATTTCTTTGATTTTTTAAATTTATACTTATACTGTTCTGCATCATTGGACCCACTTTCAGTGGTTACCATTAGCGATCTGATGCTGTTGATACTTTGCAGGCTTCGAAGAACTACAATTGGGCTAGTGGTAGTGCAAGTATCCTGTCAGAACTGGGGACCTTGCATCTGGAGTTTGCTTACCTCTCTGATATCACAGGGCGACCTGTCTTTCGAGAGAAGGTCCAGCATATTCGAGACTTTCTTCAGGACCTCAAGAAGCCCAAGGGACTCTATCCCAATTACCTCAACCCAAAGAGTGGAAAATGGGGTCAAGGTAGCCACATACCTGTCTGGTGGTTGGGCCTGGCCATGTAGAAGATGTAATATCTTTCACAAGGGGTGTGGTGTGTGGTGTGTGACAAAATTTTTAATATCAAGTGACTCATCTCTAATTGAATTGAAATAAGGAAAAAGTTTAAAGAATTTTCAGAAAATATAGTATTGCCAGATTTAGGAGGGCAATAAAGGAGGGGTCTTTAATGGAGATACTTACATTACTCTGTCAATGCCTGGTTCTTCTGAGAAGCATGAGGGACAAGGAAAGTATTGATTGCAAGCATATGAAACTTGAAGTTTTTATTACAGTGAAAACTCGTTAACTCGAACTTTTAGGGACCGGGCAAATCGTTTCGAGTTATCTGAAGTTCGAGTTATCAGGAATCGCCCCCCCCCCCNAGTGTACATTCTCTTCGAGCGTCAGATTTCCTCTCGAGTGAGCTCACTCCACACAAATGGCGTAAAGGAAGTAGAATATGACTAGAATGGCTCGGAGTGAGAGCGATAGATAGACAGAGAGAATTTTTGAGGCTGCCTTTTTAAAGCCGAAGCTTCTCGGTTTTAATCCTCACCACAGGCGTCTGTGTGGGAGGAGGGAGAAGAAGAAAAAAACAAAAACAAAAGAACATCCTCCCGAACGTGTTTCTTGTCATTCCTCCTATTCAAAAGAATTTTTAAAAAAAGTCCCAAGAGAGAAATTTTTCCCCCCTTCTCACCCTGAATTCGAGTTAACCGTGAGAAATTCGTTATCGGGAGTGAAAATTTCATTCGAGATATCCGGAAATTCGAGATAAGCGAATTCGAGTTAAACGGAGCATTTAACATGGTGTCCTACGGGGTTCCGCCGGGACCAAGCTTTGAACTTTGAGATAAGCGGAATTTCGACTTATCAGGATTCGAGTTAACAAGTTTTCACTGTACTTAAATTATTGGGCCTTTTTTATTACCTTTCTTAGATTGTTATATTGCTTTCTGGGTTTGGTCAGAGTGTTCATTGACATAATGAAATTTAGTCTCTTCCTATTGCCAAATGATCTTGACCCTCCAAGTGGACTTGGGTAGATGACTAAAAGTGTGAACTATGATGCAATGACACTTGGTGCTTTTCAGCTAGAATGAAATTGCAATCCTAAATTGAAAAAAAGGTTAAAAAAAAAACCTGCTTGAAGTTTGAGGAGTTAGATTGAGAACTCTGTTTTGATTTTAGCACATGTATCAATGGGAGCACTGGGAGACAGTTTCTATGAATATCTGCTGAAGTCATACATCCAGATGAATGGGAAGGATGTCCAAGCAAGGGAGATGTACAGTGAAGCTGTGACAGCTGTGTCCAAATACCTCCTCAAGAAGTCCAAGGGAGGGCTCATCTACTTTGCTGACATGCGCTTTGAGCGCCTTGAGCACAAGATGGACCATCTTGCCTGCTTTGCCGGTTGATTTTCTAGCTTTCTTGTCATACATTCTTGATTTTCATCACAAGTCTGGTTTCCCCTTTATTTTTAACAACATTATTTAAATTATTGTTGACTATGTTATTCCCAGTTTCTTCCTGATATCTCTTGTCATTAACTGGGTCATTGATGTTTACTCTTATTGGCTATTTCAAGTGACTCATTGGCTACAATTTGGCATCAATTGGCTCGTTCTAACTTGTGCTAGCTACTGGCAAGTTCCAATGTTTAGTTTCTACCCTTTCCTCTATTTCTTTAAAGTTATCTATGCCCAAAGTGAGGGCCATAAAGAAATATTGGAAAGTAAAAGAAATTTGCTCTTGGTCTTAAGAGAAAAGAGTCAGAAAGAAACAGCAGCAGAACCAAGGAAGAGATAAGCACCTCCTCTCTCTTTCTCTCATCTCTCTCCTCACCTCCTCCACCTCTCTTTCCCGCATCCCTTTGATGCCTTGACTTATACATTGCAACAATATTTGAATTTTTTTTACCCCCTATGACTGAAATATTTGTCCTAATATAGGGTGATAGGGATTAGTTTATCTTCTCAACTGAAAATGTGTCATTCTTCCTTGGGATATGGCTTCTTAGGACACTCATCACTGTATAGGTGACAATTGCTGACAACTATAGGGTGATGCAAAAAAATGCTTACACTTGCTTTGGCAAACTCCCAATAGTCTTGCTCTCATAGCATGTGAATAATTTATACATAAATGAAAGGTAGATTTAATCTCTTTTCAACCATGTAAGTATTATGCATATATCCTGTTTAGTTTTTGACATGTTTGACATTATTCTAAGTGGGGCATGCTCTGGTACTGCAAGAATGTCATTTAAAAAAATGCATTTGTTGAGGAGCTGAAGAGTGAGTTTTGGAGCCTTGTGCTCAGGAGTGAGTTATTTTGGCGACTCGGAGGCTTTTCTATAATAGCATAGTTTGATGTTTCAGAGGCAATGTCCAGGATAAAACTTTTTGTTTATTTTTAAAACATGTTCCAAAGTATGCTTGGAAAGGTTCAGTTGCATCATTTGCATAGATTTATTGGAATTTGATCAAATTAAATTATCAGATTTAATTTAACTTTTGAGTGTTTCATGAAATGAGTTTGATAGAGACAGTACTGATTTATGTCAATTTTAATCTTAGTTCTGTAATAATTGCTGAGGTGGACAAGCTAAATCTTACCATTCACCTTTTTCAACTACCATTTCCCAAAAAGTTCTGTCTTAAGAAAACACATCATGAAACACCCATGTTTTGTGTTTTCAAATGCAAGTGATGGCTAAGGATTATTTTTTGCCATACCATACCCACCAGGTAAATGGATAATCTTAAAATCCCATAAAATGTTATCCAATCTAGATACCCTATTATTCATCCCATAGCCTCCCTCTGTACAAACAATGTATGCCCAACATTGGGGAATTACTTTTAATCCCTCCCTTGGATTACTGCTATTGTCATATGTTTGCTTTCTTCTTGACTCCATGGCTAACAGCTCGCTGATCAGCTACACCCTATGTAAATAAATGCATTTTGTCACCTAAATTGAGACCTAGTGTTACTCATTAAAGTTCCTTGACTTGCAGATGGATAGCAGAAGTTGCCATGGTTGTTTTAAACTGAACCATAAATATACAGGCATACTACATTGTACGAAAGCCTCAACCTGTAAATATACGGGCATACTCTTCAAAGGGTTAAATTGGTTTCTTGTTTAATGTGTAAATCATTTACATGCTATGAGAGTGAGACTAATGGGAGTTTGCCAAAACTTGTGTTTTTTTTTTGTGCAGTTTTTTTTGCACCACCCAATAATTGCAGATTGGCACAGATTACACATCTGCTTACCCAAAAAGAATTAACAGAAGCTGAATTAGAAAAAAAAAATCCCTTCAATAGCTTTTTATGCCATTTTCCCCATGCATGAACTTAAAACAAGCCTGTTTTAATTGTCTCCAGGTGGTATGTATGCATTGGGGGCAAAGGCCATCAATGACTCCAGCTCTGCATACTACATGTCCATGGCAAAGGAGATAGCCCACACTTGTCACGAGTCATACAGCCGCACCCCAACTGGTCTTGGACCAGAGAGTTTCCGCTTCAATGAGCCAGGGAGTGAAGCACAGACATCAAGACACAACGAGAAGTATTACATTCTGCGTCCAGAAACCTTTGAGACCTACTTTGTTCTCTGGCGTCTCACCAAGGACCCCATCTACCGGGAATGGGGCTGGGAGGCTGTACAGGTGATTTCAACCATCTTATGTCTCCTTACCCCTGAAGTTCTTTGTTGCCAATCTCTGCTTGGATGCAGTTAAATATTGGGATTATAGTTTTGAATAAGAATTGAGTGATTCACACTGAACTTTTAGCAAATTAAGATTTGGATCCATTCAATTTATCCTTTGGTGAGATATTGCCAAAGCTTTATTTAAGGCACAGTACAATGACCTCTCTAATACTGTAAATACCACCATCTTATGGGGAACCAGTGATGAGTAGGAAAGCAGACAACAACTGGTGGGGTATCTGCTTATAATTGAACATAGTTTCACATTAAGTTATCCTCACTTTGTAAATTTTGGGCACAAACTTATTACTTTTTTATTATTTTATGCAAATAAATCTTTTCTGGGTAGCTCTGGCAGGTTTAGTTTATCTCTTATACATGTTTAGTGGCTCTTTGGCTGATTGGTGATATTCTTCAAATCTTTTGATGTGGATCACTAACACCTGACTCCCCCCACCACTAATTTTCAGAAATATTCGGTTGGAAAGAAAGTCTCGCAACACTTTCTAAAACTATTTATAAAAATTTTCAAAGGAATGATGGGTGGGGCTTTGCATTTGTATATGCTGGAATGTTCTCGAAGCTTCTGCCCTCGGGGTATATAAGGTGGATTCTGCC